CTGCCGTGAGAATCCGGGCTCAGGTAGCAGACTCAGCTGCCTCTTCTCGCCCCGGGGAAACAGCCTCCCCATTGGTCTGCGTGGCTGCTGGTAACGACCGGCTCTGCTCAGCAACCGGCAGGCTCCGGGACCCGGCCTGTGCTGCCCGGCAGGCCGGCCTGGCGCTCTGCAGAGACGAGACGCGGCCTGAGGCGGGAAGCCGCGATGGCCAGAGCGGAAGGGTTTCCAGCCCCGAGTCTCCGGGCTCCCCGCGCGGCTCTTACTGCCTGAGAGCAAGGGCAGGAGGGCTCTGAGCATGCTCACGTCCGGGTCCGTATCTCTCCTTTGCCTGCTGGGGGAAGGGAGAGGTGACCAAAGGGGGCTGAGCGCGATGGGCAAAGTGAGGCCAGGAGGCCCGGCCGAAGGTTTCAGCTACCCAGGGAGACTCTGCTCGACGGGCGAACTCGTGAGACACCCCAGCACCAAGGCAGTTTGGTCAATGGGCTGGTTTCAGGGGCGTTTGGATCGAGCCCTGAGAGTCTCCTTTGCCTGCTGGGGGAAGGGAGAGGTGACCAAAGGGGGCTGAGCGCGATGGGCAAAGTGAGGCCAGGAGGCCCGGCCGAAGGTTTCAGCTACCCAGGGAGACTCTGCTCGACGGGCGAACTCGTGAGACACCCCAGCACCAAGGCAGTTTGGTCAATGGGCTGGTTTCAGGGGCGTTTGGATCGAGCCCTGAGAGTATTTAAACTGCACGGGGGGCCGTAGTGGGGGGCTGTCTGCTCTGCCCCCCCGCGCTGGGCTGTGCGACTCCACTGACCCACCCACGCGTGCATCGGCCCAGACACCTCGGCCCAGCCGGGGCAGTTAGCAAAGCTCTTCCCAGGGGGAGACACAAAGGGAGGGAGGCGGAGACCAACACCAGGTGGAAGGGCGAGTTGCTGGCTGGAAAACATGAAGGCTGCGTCTAGACCGGCATGATTTTCCGCAAATGCTTTTAACGGAAAAGTTTTCCGTTAAAAGCATTTGCGGAAAAGAGCGTCTAGAGTGGCACGGACGCTTTTCTGCAACAGCACTTTTTGTGGAAAAGCGTCCGTGGCCAATCTAGACGCGCTTTTGCGCAAAAAAGCTCCGATCGCCATTTTCGCCATCGGGGCTTTTTTGCGCAAAACGAATCTGAGCTGTCTACACTGGCCCTTTTGCCCGAACGGGAGCAGCGCAGTATTTCCACAAGAAGCACTGATTTTCTTACAAGCGGCCGGTATAGACAGCTGGCAAGTTTTTCCACAAAAGCAGCTGACACAGTCGAAGGGAACAACCTAAGCTGAGGACTGAGGGTTGGGGGAGGGGGTGGGGCGATGGACCCCCTAACCCAAAGGGTCTGAGGCATCCTGGCCCTGACTCCTGTCACCACAGCACGTCTGTGCGGTGCTGTACCCTGGAGAAGCGATAAACCCTTCTCTGTTCTGCTGGCTGGCGGAGCCTGTTCTTGCTGCTACGGGGGAACCCGACGCGCCGTCGCACACGGCTCTGGTTCTGGCGATTTCACGGACACGCTTGGGAGAGGAGTCTGTTTTCTGAGGGACCCCTCATCCCTCTCTCCCCCCATTATCGTGTTACAAAACACATTTCTGGGGGAGAGCGGGAGGAAGGGAGGAAGGAAAGAAGAAAGAGAGGGAGGGAGGGAGGGAGAGAGGGAGGGAAGGAGGCAGGGAGGGAGGGACGGAGGATGGACTCTGAATGCACCGGACACTGCCAGGGAAAGAACCAGAGGAAACTCTTCAGCCACAAAGATGCTGGGAGCAGGCCGGCTGCAGAAGAGGGCACAGGCCTCCCCAGTCTTACGTTTCATGACTCTGCCCCCTGGGAGGGCTGCACCTAACCCCCGGCGTCTGACACCTCGCCACTTGCGTCCAGGGTCGGGCCGGGGAGCTCGGGCGCCATCTTGTGCTGCAGGGCCCCCGGCGCCAGGAACAGGAAGCACGGCGCCATTCCACTGGGCAACCCCTCAAGCGGCGGGAGCGGCCCGGTGGCCGGATGGCAACGTGGCAGAGAATAGCGTGGCGCGTGGCGGGGGCGGCGGCAGGGGGAGATCAGAACAACCCGTGGGATACTGGGCCGTGGCCAGCCGGGAGCGAGCAAACAGCAGCCCAGGGAAGAGAATGGCCAAGCTTCCCCGTGTAACTCAGGAGCCGGAGGGCCCACTTGAGCCCAGCTGGCCCCACACTCCCTCCCGGCGTCCTGCTGGGATTGCTGCTCGGGGAAACACAGCGACGCCGAGCGTCAGGCGGCTCTTCTCTGGCGAGCTCTCCCCCGGCGCGGCAGCCGAGGGCTTTCCTGCAAACGAGACGACAGAACGAGCCGTCCACCTCCTTGGCCTCTGGCTGGAGTCCCCCAGGGACAATCTAGGGCAACTGGCTCTTTCTGTCACAGCTGCCAGGCCTGGCCCCACCCTGGAGAATGCGAGCGGCCGGTGCAGCGGACTGACGTCTCCCTGCCCCGGAAAGGCCGGTTGTTACCCTCTGCAGCGCCACGCGAGGGGCTGTCAGACCCGGGGCCGGGGAGGTACTTTCGGAAAACTGCCCCCCCTGGGAAAGGAGGAAGGGCTGTTGTCCAAGGAAGGTGCCACATAACGCTTCCGTTCCCAAAGCCATCGCGCCTTTTCCTTCCTTTTCTGCGGCTGCCCCGGGGGTGAAAGGCTTTGAAGGCGTTTGCCGCGGTACGAAGCCGGCCGAGGTCACCGCACTCCAACCCCCAAACCTTGTGGGAAGCGGCTGAGCGCGACACAGCCCTGTTAGCACCGGGGCGCCGCGTGCTCGTCCACAGCCGTATGACAGCCCCGGCCGGGGG